TTACTTCGCAAATAACACAAATTTTTGACAAGTGGGAGTTTCTAAATAATTTTGACAATATTTTTAATATCTCTATTTATTGGATTTGGTAAAATAATTTTAAAAATCATTATGTAGTGTTACTTATTTATGGATAAGAAACATTTATCATTAGAGGGGGGTTTATTTGTTGCACACCAACACACCCTTAGGGGGCGTTTGGTACGCGGGATTTTGAGGGATTCTCGGGAAACTGAATTTTTCTAAATTTTAAATTTTCAGATATTATCATAAACTGAATGCAAAAATCATATTTTTGAAAATCGAGATTCCCGGACAAATAAAAATTTCTCTTGTACCAAACGCCCCCTTAATATTTGCGTCGAGAATAAAGTAATCCCTTGATTGGACCTCGACCTTGCAATCAGAACGGCCGAATACTGCTCTAATGCCGCTTTGTCATTTCAACCATTATGAATTTACAGAAAAAGTACGTACTACGTAGTTCCTACTTTACACAACTAATGGCAGAGAAACACACAAAAGCAAATTCGTCTGTAGATTTAGAAGCTGTTCAGGTGGTTACATCAATGAATCTAGTAATCAAACAGCTCCGGTCTGATGGTAATGATAATTCATTAAAACTTAAAAATGTCCAGTATTAGAGTTACTTAAATACGGTATAAATTCAGATAAATTTAATGCTACAAGTGTAATAAATTTTTTCAAAAATCAAACAAGTAAATACTATATTTATTGTCGTCGTATTGTCACGAAAGTTAACGTACTTTGATAAACAACCAACTTAAGGCTTATTTTTATTTTTTTTAGGAAAAATTCATTTGTCATTGTTAAATGAATAGTCGTTCCACGTAGGCGGCAAAAGAGATTCGATTTGACGAGCCGACCCCGGAGCAGATTAGTTTGTTTTTTGGCGGATTAATAACACGGAGAGCAGTGACGGAAGTAGAAATTTTAATAATGAGGAGCAAAAATAAAAAATATTATATTATAAACAAAAATATTTGAAATATAATACAGATCTAATATATAAGAAAATTAAAAAAAATCTATTACAAAAATTAAGATTACTTTATTTGACTCTTATTTTACGTATTTTCTTATTGTTAAACTCATATATAATTGAATCTGTGTTAAAACTCAAAACAATTTCTTTTTTAATGTATGTAATCAAAGAATCATCAAGAAATTGATCTTTTATTTTATTTCGAACCTTGTTCTTAATTTTATTTTACGCATGCGGATCCTGACTTTTTTCTTTCTTTTTAAATGTCAGGATCCACATGTGTAAATATGTTTGCTACAAAAAATTTCATATGCTATAGCTGCATAAGAGGCAAACTCATAAATAAATTATGTTATCCATTATCAATAAATTAGATACCCACAGAGTTATATATGTCCTTTCATTCTTTTTATAGCTAAAATTGTTGGAAATTTAAAAAGATTAAGAATAATTTAGGAGAACACACTACAATTTTTTAATCTCACAATCACGTGTTTGGTAAGAATTGAAAAAAAAAATTCTTAGGAAAACGAAGTTGGAAAATTATTTACCTATGTTTGATAGGAGGTGAAGTAAAAATGTGGATAGTTTGCTTTTCTATGTAAAATAGTTGGAGAAAATTACTATTGAAGGGGTGAAATTGTTTTTTCCCATGTGGTGAAAAATTGACACACAACATCATTAAAATTAACTCAACATTCCCAGAAAAAATTTAGCCTACCAAACACCTTTTAGTAACTTACCAAAAAAAAAATTCTCATTGTATTCTCGGAGCAAATGAACTACCGAATCAAGCACCCCACTTTTTAATATTTTAATCCTATAAATATTTAACTTCTTTTTGTCTTCTTCATAACCAAAATCGTCCTTGACTTTTCAAACTAGTATAATTAGGAGAAGCTGAATGAAAAATAAAAATGCAAAAGCTGAATCCTTTTCTTAAATTTTACCCCAAAAGAAGGTAAGAGAGGCTAAGGCGGGTTATTAACTATCGCTGACAACTGAAGAGTGAAGAGGTACTTGAAGAGTGTTAGTCCCACGTCCCCCTTCAATGAAAATGTTTGTGCTTCCTCTTCAGTTGTCTTCTCTTGCAATTGCAGGCTGAACAATTTTCAGAAGTTTGATTTGAGCCGTTGAGGTTTTGTGCTTCTTCTTCACGCTCACGCATGTCAATAATTTGTCCACTCACACACATTTTGTAATATTATTAAAATATCATTTATATATTTTTTCCCAAATTTTAGGGGGGGTGGAGGCCTCCCAAGCCCCCCTCTAGTTCCGCCTCTGAGGGAGAGGCCAGCCGAGGTGGATTAATGTAAAAAATATTAGGGCTGACTCATTTTTTGATGGGATGAGACGAGTCGTCCACTTGGTCACCTCAAGTCCTACAAACACATTTTTTTATGGGTCCCATTATAATTTTTTCTTTCACCTCTCTTTCTTTTCTTTCACCTATCAAAAGTTATATCTGTACAATAACTTTTCATTTATCATGTAACATAACAAAATGAATTTCCCTTTTTTTAGTGCTATGATGTGTCAATTTTATTTTATTAGAAAATAGGGATAGTTATTGTAACGCCCGACCGCTTCAAGAATCAATGACTATCCCCACATACTAACACGAAACTTTTCAGTGTGTTTTTTCCTCACTCGCACACTTTTCCGGGAAAACTCCCAGGAGGTCACCCATATCAGAATTGCTCCAAGTCAAGCACGCTTAACTGTGGAGTTCTTTCAATCCGGGTTACCGAAAAACATATGCATCTTGTTAGCATGGGTAGTACCAATTAATTCTTATAAGCTATCCCAAACTGTGCAGTCTTATACCTGCACAGCCTTTGGAATCTCTCTCTTTCGGGTGTCGATTCGATTCATTCATGCATGTAAGCCCCCGCTGGAAGCCTGTCAGGAGCCGCTTTTTGTCCGTGCCTCTTTGCACCGGCGATCACTCCTCGCCCTCGTCAGCGCTCGGGATGTTACAGTTATGATCAAATTTATAATCTCATATTTATTCTAGTTCTGTACCGTGATAAATAACTAACTCAACCCAATATTTTAAATAAATTCTTGATAATTTTATATTATATTTCTTTATCGTACTTGAATCAAAAGCTTAAGTATTACTATATACTATTCGTTTAGTCGAGCTTTTGAGCTTTCGTTGGTGTTTGGTAGAGGAAAAAAAATTATCCGGGAATCACAATTTTCAGGAATATGATGGAAAGATGAGTTTTCTGGGAATGTTACCAAAAAAGTGTTTGGTAGACTAAAATATTCTCGAGAATATTGGATTAATTTTCTTAATGTTATGTTTAGTTGTATTAAATTTTCTCTTGCCATAGAAATCCTAGAATACCATCCCCTGGATGATATTCTTGGATGGTATTTTCGAAAAAATGTACACACAAAATAAAATTCCGAGAAAATCAGATTCTCAGAAAATTTTTAAAAAACTTATACCAAACATGGATAAATATGATTACCATTCTCAGTTTCCCGAAAATCTTAAAAAATGACTCGTACCAAACGGCCATGGTTAGTGTATTGTGTGAGTCGAGCCAAGATATTTTGTCAGGCGAGAAAAATGTACGTTAATTTAGACAAGGTAATATAACAATTGGTCAATATGTAGCTAAATTTAAAAAACTCTTAATTTTCTTTATACGTTAAGAATAAGAAGAAGAAGAAAAATTAAAAGGTTGAGCCTATGAAAACGAACTTATACTACGTACACTATTTTTATGTTAAAATCTAAATGTGATTTAAGACAAAAGTTTACGTGAACTTATAAGGGCAAATGTTCTCTAATATCCCTGCGTGACTACACCAATGCTGAGGTACTAGTTTTAAAATGTTTATTTTGGAGAGTGACCCAGCCTCAACTCCATTTTTAAGGGGCATTCTTTCACATCAAAGGACTCAATAACTACTTGGTTCAAAGAAATCCTTCAATTGGCCTCTGAGATCGCATCCTTACACTACAAAAAAGATGGTGATTAGCCACAGTTAAAGTCGTAGCCAATTTGAGAAAAAATTGTGGCTAATAAATGCAACCATGATTTCAACAACAGTGGCTAAACCTAGCGTTGCATTATTTTAACCACGCTTGTTTTATCAATTAACCACAGACTTTATCAGCGTGGTAACACTCATTTGTCCTCAATTCTTGTTTGATTTAGCTATATTTTAACCGTGGTTAATTTACGAGTTTTTTTAAAAAATATTTATTGCAATAGTAGGCTACGTACACGCGTCCACACCTCCACAACACTGAATAGACTTGATGATCCTAAAATGAGAGAAATAACTAGTGAAAGCATTAGAAATAGATGAATTTAATTATTTAACGATTGATTATCTCATTCTCATTCTGAGCAAACCTAAACATGCGGAAATACCGAAACAAAATGTCACTTACCATATACAAAATTGTAATTAATCCTTGCTAACTTTGCATCAATATAATGAAAGTAAATACAAGATTCCTAATACACATTATTGCCTCTTGAGATGTAAATTATAAATCTAGGAAATCTCTACCGGTTCATAGAGAAGATAAACATAAGGAGACTCATTGAAAAGTGCTAAAGACTCACAATTAAAATGAATTAGACTGAGCATATGTGAAAATGATGTCCTTGATTCCATTTTTCATTTCTTTCTACCAAAGTTGGCTTCAAGCAATTTGACTTTAATGCTATTTAAACACATCACGATATTCATAGTAGCAAAAATTTAATGCTACATTCTTCAGGAACATGCAAGCAACACATTACCCATTTCATCACAACTTAAGAACCTAAGCACTTGTCAAACATAAAAATCTCAAAAACTCGTCTATCCTTGTCACGTGTCTATTTTATCTATTGTTGTTGCACAATGTAAACCAGAACTTTTGGCAGAAGTTAATAAAAAATGAGATAAAAATTGCAATCACAAATGCCGCAATTTAAATGTTGTATTTTAATATTGCATTCAAATATTTAATTTACCTCAACAATAAAGTGTGCCCATAGTATATTTTTCTAATTTCGATCTTTTTGCTTTCAAGATATTTAACCCAAAATCTCAAATTTTGTCATTTATCTCAAGGAAGAAACCCTGCTCCACATAAGGCATGCATCTACAAGAGAGTAATAACAATGAATTCACTGTGGCATAGATAATCAAAAGGATAGAAGATAGATATGTAAAACATACATTCTCATTTCTAATCTTACCTCTATAAGCATTTGGCACTACTTTCGTTTAGAACCACTCCATTTGGCTAGTGAATGAGCAAAACATGCAAGCAAGTTAAATCATATTTGATAATAACCGATGAAGATTAAGAATATTTAATTTTTCTTTAGATTTGTATAAAAAGAGTTTGATTGGTAACCTTTGGCTTATTGGGTAAAAATAATGAACACTGATATAAGATATCAGGAAACCCCAACAAAGCATGAGTCTTACCATTGTACTAACAAGCACGACAGTGACAGTGCTGATGATCATGATGGCACTGGATTGCAGTTCAGTATGCCCCGACATGCATTTTACAAGAGTGTTAGATTTTAAATCATCGACTAATTAAGATCCCATCTACAATGACCATTAACTTATTTTTCCAAAACTGATGGCACCTGATGAGCAGTGTTGACAAGGAACGAAGTGTGCCACATTAATTGTTTTTCTATTATAAGAAAAAGACAGTTTTCACAAGGAAGATTGGAGAATCAAGGACAAGATTTCAAAAGGCAAAAACATAAAACATCAATTAATACAAGGGTTGTTTCAGTAATGCGGCTAAATCATACCATCATTTGTTGACTAGTAGTTATAAGATTCAACAGTTATTTATCAGTACATATAAATCCATATATAGCTTAAAGACATATGCTGAGAAGACATACTTGGTAGTAATTCTTGAGCTCTCAGTCAATGAGACATAACAATCCCCCCAAAGAATATGGTGAGATGCCACTTAGATGCCATAACTGCAGAACATGCAGATATATCAGCACCATGCTAATGATTAATGTCAACCACAAGAATAGAAAGATATAAAGCTAAAAAAAAGTTCAATGGTAAGACAAATAATCATAAAAGTATACAGCCCTATTCAAAATGGATACACATATTGCTGATGGGTTGATATGCAAATCCCTAAAAAGAAACGTGGAAAAAAAATCTGAGAATGCCACAAAAGATAGACAACTCAAATAAAATAGAATGGGGTATAGTTATATTTTTGGTGGAAAGGGTAATTAGCTTTGCATGGTTTTCTTACTAATACATATTCCAAATTATCAAACATGTTTTCTAAATAATATTTTTTTCTACAGAGGCAATATTAAATGAACCTTGAACAAACCCAAAATTTCTTGTATTTAATTATTTAATTTTTTTTAGTGGTTCTTCCTTTCTTTTTTCCCTTGAATCGTGATTGAAGAATACAATGAAAAGAAAGTGTGATCTTTGAAAATGTGCACGTAATATTTTTTTATTTTTTTCCCACATTTTTGTGTGCAAGTAATATGTTTTCCCACATTTTTTATGCAATTAATTTTTCAACAATTCATGTAGCACTTTTATCATAAATGTATCTTAATATTTAGATTCCAATAATTCATCAAAGGATATAACACATCATTTGCTCAAGATGCGCAATATCATAGCTAAGTTTGTGATTAATTTATTTTTCCCAATCATTATGTCTACAAGTCCACTATATATTTTGGTCTATGCTAGAGATTCAATCATATTACGTTCCCAAAATATGGCTTTTAGTACACGTGGTTCTTGTTTTGAATTTGGATCCACATGCAGCAGAAAGTTTATCAAAAAGATTTGTGCCTTATAGCCTTTAATATGTGTGAGTATGATTGCGGAACATCATATAGTAACTAGGTCTAAGACAATTCATATGTAATTGATATAAATATTATATACTACTTCTAAACTCTAAAGAGAAGACTTGCAGTTTTCCATACCTGCTTTTGGTGCAAAACATATTTCAACTTCATCTATCATCCTAAAGAAAATATCAAAAAAAAAAAATTCATAAAAATGAATTACGCGCTCAATCTCTAAAATCTATTATTTCACATTTCCTTTCATTCTATTTCTTGGTAATTTACTTCCCCTTCCAACCTAAGTGGTTCTTTTCTCCCATATACTCCCTGGGATAAGGATTGAGTATTTTCCCCTACTTACTCAACATCCCCTGAGTATATAGGCGTATGACGAAAATCAACCCACATAACAAATTAGGAATGAAGCTTAAGTATAAATTATAATTTTTTCTTAACGACAAGAATACGAGTAAAGAAAAATCAAACTTATCACAAAAACAATAAAAATAAAAAATGAAACTCAAAGGTGCAAAATAACCTGAGCATGAAGTATTTAGTCACACCCGAAAAAAAGATAAGGTAATGTTTGCCTTTGGTCATCTTTAGCCATGACTTTGGCCATCTGTAGCCATGACTTATAGAATATCTTCCATCCTGAAACATATTTCAGTACCCAAAACATTTTATACATATAACAACAATAAAAAATAAAGAATAAGAATCACATGCACAAAATTAAATGAAACAAAATCAACGGTAAGTACAACATTAAGATGACTCAATTAAACTTTAAAACGCCCTTTAACGACATTTGGGGTTTAAAAATATTCAAGAGAGTGCAAAAAATTCAAATCATCAAATTCTTTGACAATAACCAATAGTAAAGACAAAGACTACATTTATTACGCCAAAGATCGCAGTACACAAAGCGCGGTTTAACCAAGCCCTAAAACCCAAACAAACACTAATATGAATATTTTACCTTAAAAGAAAAAACCCAAATGATTTTTGAAATATATTAAAAACGGAATCAATCACCTTTGTGAAAGGAGTGCAGATCATAGGGCTTGGAAGAAAAAAGATCGCCGGGGAGATTGACATTTTTATCACCTATCGTTATGGAGTTCGAGATTATTGAAATTTTGAGACATAGATCAAAAAATGAATGGAAGAAAAATAAGAGGAAGATTGTGGTGGAATGCAAGGGAGATAGGGGCAAAAAGCGTCAAAGAATCAAAGAGAGGGTTTGCGAAGATGAATTGGGACAGAGAGATCGAGATGAAGAGGAAATAGGAGAGACATAGATTGGAATTAAAATTTGGCGATGAAGGGATTTGATTTTCTTTTCATTTTTAGTTTTTTATTTTTTTGAACGTAAAAACTAAAAAGTGATCGAGTAATTGCAGGGAAAATTTAGAAAGATATTATTAAATTTCGTTTAGTTTTATAACAGTGGTTAAACGACCATGGTTAAATGCCGCATTTTTTGTAGTGTTAACTATACTTTGAGAATGGGACATTAGCATTGATTGGCTTGCAATTCGAAGACCTACCCGTGATTTTTACTACCAGAAACATATCATTCGTGTATGAAAAGAAATTCTTAAATATAAATTCTTATATTTGTGATTTAAATATAAGAATTTCTCTTCATACATGAATGATATGTTCCTGGTAGTAAAAATCACGGGTAGGTAACTATGTAAAATTCTAATAAGTAATAATAATAATAATAATAATAATAATAATATGAATTAATCACAAAATTATTATAAACAACACTCTAAAATATATAATTTAATCATAAATTATTATAAATTATATTCCAAAAATAAATAAATAAATCATAAATTATTACAAACAACACTCCAAAAATATATAAATCAATAATAAATTATCACAAATTACATTCCAAAAAGGTATAAATCAATCATAAATTACATGCTAAAAATATATAAATCAATCATAAATTATCATAACTAAAATTTCAAGATATTTCATATGGGAATATTTTCTTTAACAATTATTAGTTAAATAATATTTTACTATTATCATACTAATTTTACTATTGGTATAGTAATATTTTTTTTTCTATAAATAGAGGCTTCATGAACCATTAATCATTGCTTCAAAATTGAGAGAAATCAAGAAGTAAAGGGTTTTAGAAAATTTAGAGAAAACTCTACCAAGAAAGAGAGGGAAAAAGAAAGGAATTTTAGAGTGTGAAAGCTTAATAAGCTTTATAATAAGAAAGATAAAAATAAATACTAAGGGTGAGAATGACTTCTTTCTTTCTTCTAAATTATAAATTTCATGGAAGTGTTATTTTGTTATTTATTTTACTCTCCTCTTCTTTCCCTAACTAGTCCCGATGGGATACTGCTTTTCAATTTATTTTATGTTATTTATTTTAGAGATTTATATTTATGCAATTTATAATTTTCTACTTATATTTCGAAAATTTATTTTACAACAATTTACATTTCTGCAATGTATATTTCCGCACTTTATAATTATATACGTAAATATATATTTATTGATTTATAATTAAGCAATATATATTTCAGTATATATTTATGTTGTCACATATTATAAGTATATATTTATTATTCTAATTTATATTTAAGCAAACTTAAAATTTTGCAATTATCAATTATGTGCATAGTAACATATGAGCGAATAGTGTTATATACCTAATAAATATCATACATGTGTTATTTAATTTTTTATTTTCATTTTTGCATGTTCATTATATTGATATGTTATACCTTTAATTTTTGTAAATTATAACAGTAAATTTTGCACGATAAATTTTGTTTGAAAAGTTTCGTACTGTAAAAAATTTTATAACTTATATTTTTTTTTTAAATTTGTGGAGATGTGATTGTTCTAACTTTTATTGTGATGTCAAATTTCAAAATTGATATGTTAAGACTTACAATTTTTTTTTTATAGGATCCTTTTTGGAAGTATCCACGTGTTTGTCTGCCTAAAGAGTTGATAAGATTTCTCATAGAAGGTAATCTAAATATGTGCATGGTTAAGAAATTGAGTTTTTTTTAGTCAAGGAACAAATTCCTTAGACAAGATAAGGCAGGGGGATACCCTTGCAAAGTGCAGAGCTATGATATATAGAAAAATCTATGCTTATGAAAATGTTTTGGCATATAATGTTACATATATATTTGTTATGTTGAATTATTTTGAAATATTATAATGTTAACATTACATATTTAAAACCATAGATGATTTTTCATACTAAGTTATGACTGAAAACGCTAAACTTCTGCGATACCTTTTAAAATTGTTATCTTCATTGGGATAAAATCTTATTAAGTGTGTATTCAGATGTGGAGGACAGAGGCTAAAGTAGATGTTGTGTGTAAGCAAGGAAGAGGTATTAGCCAATAAAGACTACACTTTTATTTCGTTGTGAAATTCTATACCAAACCATAATTATATTTTGGTTACAGTATTTGTATTTTGGAAGGATTACTTAATACTCTATGTTTATTTAATTGTATGTACTTGGATATTCTAGAATAAAGTCAACTTCAGTAAGACTTACATTTCAAGTCTTCGTTAAATGTTAATCTCATTTATATCTAACTGTAAAGAAAAGATGGCTAATGCAGAAGCACAAGAGGGGGTGAATTGTGCAGTAACTTGTTTAGCAAGAAATCA